CGTCAATTAAGTGGCAAAGCAGCCCTGTTCCAGCACACAACTCCATATTTTGTGCATTTCTTCTGGCTTATCTCATCCCGGTTGCGTGCTACATGCGTTCCACCACCGTTACCTCGTCGACAAGCTTTTTCGGCGACCAAATGCCTTGCTGGAGCAGTTCGACATTGTTGGACAGAGAACCTTGTCAACGTTCAAAGGGGTGCAAAAGTCTTGGACCGCGTGCAGAAGAGTTTTTGGGCTTCATTGGGCTTCGTGCAAACTGTGAGACGGTATAACTCCTCCTCACCTTTGTACGTTTAGTGCAAAAGTCTTGGACCGCATGCAGAAGAGTTTTGGGGCTTCATTGGGCTTCATGCAAACTGCGAGACGGTATAACTCCTCCTCACCTTTGTACGTTTACTTCTTAGCTAGCCATAGGTTGTAATGGCATTAGGCGTGCGAGTTTGGCCGTTCGCACGGGGTGCGTGCGTCGGCGAGTGCCGGCACGACGACGCATCTGTGTGATGGATCGCTTGTTTTCCTAGAGTTGGCCTTTAGGTTAGGATTCTCCTTATGCGACCAAGTCCTCTACGATAGCAGAGCGAATCTCATTTGACTGCTAGACTTAAGATAAACATCCAAAGGGTTAGAGCCCATTTCGCTCCCTTTTGCTTTGCTTACTCCGGTCTTGTTAGAAAGATTGCATAATAGACCTTTGTGAAATGAGAAAATATGTGTCATTAGCTCATTTTGTAAAGCTCAGAGGTGTCGTGAAATCCAGAAATGTGTCGTCACTAGTACATTTCACAACAAGACAGAGAACTTCCCCCTTGGAGATCCGGGGAGAAGTCCCCCACCTGCCTCGCCAAAGCAAAGGTGGCAATCACCATTTTTCTATATGTTGACCCTAGCTTCCCCGGTGAGATCATTAGCATGGGGATGGCTCCTCATTACATGTGAATGTTTGCATGTTGTATTTTGCATTTCACTTCGCTTCGACCGGTCGCCCTGGCCTGGCGATCTCTTCACTTCGCTCCGACCGGCCGCCCTGACACTGACGAGCTTTTCACTTCGCTCCAACCGCCCGCCCCGGCATGGCGAGCACTTCAATTCGCTCCGACCTATCCCCCGGTCTGGCGGACATCCAGCTTTTCACTTCCCTCCAACCGCCCGCCCCGGCATGACGAGCGCTTCACTTCGCTCCGACCTATCCCCCGGTCTGGCGGACATCCCACTTTATTTCAATCGGCTTCCCCGAGCTAGTTGGCATGACATTCTGGTTCGACCGGATTTCTCGACCCGGTCGACTAACTACTTGCACCACTATACTGTCTTGCATGTGTGTTTGCATTTTTGCATATTGTAATGCATATGTATGATTGCATTGTCGCATCCTATCTTACATTTGTTTGGTTGCATGATTATGATCATATGCTCGAGTTGCATGTGCTTTTCAGGCTGCTGTCACCCCGACATGTCTATTCCGTTGAGCCGCTGCCACCACAACATGTCAATCCTCTTTGGGCCGCTGCCACCCTGACATGCCTATTCTATTGAGTCATTGTTGCTTCAACATCGCTCCGACATATCTCTTAGGGTCACTGGCACCACGACATGCCCATTCTCTTCGAGTCACTGCCACCACGACAGACCCATTCTCTTCGGGTCGCTGTCACCCTTGCATGTCTAGTATGTTGAGTCACTGCCGCTTCAGCATACCTCTTGGGGTCGCTGCCACTACGGTATGCCCACATTCCTTTAAGTCCCGTCCCATAGTATACTCATCACTTATGTTTTGACCGATCATTTGCATTTGCATTTTCACATGGATAGCGAGTCAGACCCGTTAGGAGAGTGGCTCCCATGTTGGTCGTGCTGCCTTAATGAGCATTGCTTGCAGGGTTAATCCTGATGAACAATGCGAGTTAAGTCATCGGGATTGACACGAGTATGATTGTGCTAAGGAACTATTGGATCTAACTCATGTCACCCCTCTTCGTGAAACCCTTTAGATCTTTCGAATCTTTAGGAGGGGGCCAACGTGACGACCCTGTCAAAGTCATACCATACCCAGACTTACCCAAAACTTAGATGCTAGGATGATGCACTTGTCGTTAGTTGGTGTGCTAGGCTAGGTTTTAGGGTGCTATGTAGTATTTTCGACACCTTTGGCTATTGTTGTGTTATGTTGTCTTGTGATAGCCATGTGTCCCTTTTCCACCTTTTTCGGTGTGTTTGCATGCTTCTTGTGTGTGATAGTATATTAGAGCGATCTTCTGCAAGTGTCGTGCCTATTTATACACACTCACACAGGTGCTATTATGGGGGAGCATGTAATGATTTCTAATCCTTTGCTTGCAGGTGCTCTTTAGCTCCCCCAACTATAAGACACTGCTTATTATTTTCACGATGCATGGCGTGCCCGTTAACGTTTATTTTATGCAGGTTGAGTTTTTATTTTATATTTCAAATGTATTTGATAGAATCCTAGGAGAGTGTATCAGAAATAAGGTACGTGCATGGGTTTTGAAGTGGATGACGCACCGAACCATGTGACGAGGACCAAGAATACGAGGACCAAGAATAACAGCTCATGTCCCGTACCTTAAGTCTGAATTTTAATAACAACTCATGTCCCGTACCTTAAGTCTGAATTTTACATTTTTGTATAGACTTAGGACCGGGCATGTATATGCAGAGTCCGACCACTTTTACTTCTTTTCCTGAGTTATGTTGCCGGTCTAACGACATTCAGCCTCTTTATATATTCTTTTGCGTTGATTTCCTTTCTTTCTCTTCTCGTGTGCCTTTGCATGTTGGAGTGTTTTATATTGTTTCTTTTTGCGTATCTGGAACTAACGTTCTAATTCTTTTTACCTAAAAACATAATAATAAAAGATTAAGATAATCAAAATTTTAGGATTAAAACTTTTAAGATTTTCTTAAATTAGTCTTTCCTTTTTGCATGGCCATCGTGCCGGTTTTAAAAATGGTTAAGATTTTCTTAAATCAGTCTTTCCTTTTTGCATGGCCATCGTGCCGGTTTTAAAAATGGTTTGCATGCATAGCTATAACCCGATCATACTTAATAGGGCCTCCATGCTTAGGAATATGCTAGATAATTGCATCATATTTGCATGTCCCGAGGAGTAGCCCCCGTGTTTCTCCAATCTGACTAGCTCAATATAATCTCGCTTAGGTGGTTGTCTAGCACGCTTAGGGTGTTATGAGGCACCCCAATCCAGACGGGGGTATAAGTCCTCTTGTTTGAGTTTTTTCCAGCTTTGTAGCTGAACCTCCCTTTTTCCTTCTTTCCTGAGGCTTCTTCGCCACTTCGACAGGTATAAGTCCCACCTCTCGGAGCTCTAGATTTTAGTCATAGGATAGAGTTTCCTTCCTTTGACCTTAGGGCTACCGAGGTCCCCGCAGAAGACACAATTCACGGATCGCTGACCGGGGATCTTTAGTTGTGTTGGGTCGACTACCTTTATGACCAGGTAGACTTAAGGTCCTAGTGGCTTGGGATGACGGGTCCATGGTACTCCAACTTGACTACCTCTACCTCTTAGGATTACTTCTCCTCACCTTTGACAACCCCTGTTGAGCCCTCTCTACTCTTTTGACTTCGTTGATATCACTTTGGCGGCCCGATGTCGATAGGCTGACCCCCGTTTGGGATACGACGATTTGTCCTCTGTCCTTACGACCCGGATGTGTTATAAAGTATCGGGATACCCCCCCGTCAAGTGATTTACGTTTATTTCGTAGGTGCCGTGTGCTGAGGAGCCGTTATCCATTTGGATGTGAGGGATTTACTCTCTGTCTGATGGCTTGGTGTGAGCTTCAAAGAATTGGGACCGTCCCATACGAAATAGTTACCTTTTGATAACATATGCCCCAGATTCATGATAATAAAGTGAAACTCTTTTCATCGAGAGTCTTCTTGGGTATTCCCCAAGATGTAATTAACAAATAGGAATACGTTCATTTGGGAGATTTTTGACCCCAGAACAAAAATGTTCTATAGGAATACATTCTTTTGGGAGATTTTTGACCCCAGAACAAAAATGTTCTTTTTGGTTCTCTGGTTACGGGTGGCTTATATAGAGATTCTGCTCGTGGATATTGTTTTTCGGGATACTTTGATCCGATTTTGTTTGAACGTATACTCTCGACCCATCACACGAGGATTACCCCTATATAAGCTTTCCATCTCTTTTCTTTTTGATTTGTTTGTCTATTTGTTGTCGTACGTCATTTTGCTATTCGATTCATCTCCTCTTCGAGTTATTCATTTGATTCGGGAGGAAAACTTATTCGAATAGGAAAATTATACGACGATACATAAATAGACAAACTGGCGACTCCGAGATCTAAAAAGAATCGAGAAAAACACTCAACAATATCTGACTTGGAATGATAAACAAGCTGGCGACTCCGAGATCTAAAAAGAATCAAGAAAAACACTCAACAATATCTGACTTGGAATGATAAACTTCTATTTAAATTGATTTTTCTTTGAATGGAAATTCAAATTTATGTGGCCATATATTAATTTTATGACTTTATCTTTCCTAAAATTTCCATTGAAAATTTCTATTTTACATTAACTGGGTTTCTTCATGAATAAAATTTATTTGTGATTAATAACAGTGAAATAAATTCTCATTTAATTATAACAAATAAATTTTTTCCATCGAATACTAAAATCTCATTTCTTTCCTCATAAATTACATAAAAAATACCTTTTTTTTTCTCCATACCTTGACCAATCCCAACTATAAAGTTATTTTCCAATAATAAATACAGTAAAATAACCTTTTTATTTTATTTTTCGGTGTTGAATTTTGCGTTTTGGTTGTGAGTTGAACTTTTGTCTTTATAATAAAATTGGATCTGATCTTAGTCTTTTCTAAAAAAAATAAAATAAATAAATAAATAAAATCTATAATTAATGTTAATTTTTTTATTTTTTGGGGTGGTGTTGGCTATAAGCATTTTTTTTTATGTAATCCGTCGAAAGCCTAGAAATGTTCTGAAAGAGGGAAGTTGCCTACCTTCCGTCCCTATCTTTCCCCACTGGGACACCAAAAGCCACCACCTGGTGTAGGCAAGGGGCTTTCCGATCGAAACCTAGGGATTGGCACTGCATTTTTTCCTTCATTCTCTTATGCCCGGTGCTCAGCTGACAAGATTTTCCTTCCACTCCTCCCCCACAAATGGATGACATGGAGGACGACGCCCGGTATCCACCAAATCCCTACCCCCAAATTAATCGTCGCCCCTTTCCTTCCTCCAATTACTCCAGTCTACACGCTCGCAATAACTCTTACCCATCGCAAATACCTCGCTCCTTCCCCGATGATTATGTCGATGAAGACGAAGAGGAGGAAAGGAATGACGTTGATTTGGCCGTGAATGATGCTGAAGAAGAAGAAGAAGAAGAGCTAGAAGATGAAGAAGATGAGGTTAGTGCCGGAAGAGGTTATCTCCGGACGAGGAACGAGGCCAACAACGAGGAGGATGACGTTGACGAGTCATCTGAGAGCCTCGGAAAGCGGCGTAGGCTCGATCGGTACGCGCGAGGCTTTGAGTTGGTTCCCCGCTCTGTAGCTTCTCCTGCTTCGAAGCCGTTGCAGTGTCGAAATTCTTCTGCGGATTGGTCGGAGGACTCTACTTTCGCTCTTCTGGATGCGTGGGGAGATCGATACCTGCAGAACGGTCGGAAGAGTCTTCGCTCAGACGAATGGGGTGAGGTCGCGAAGAAGGTTTCCCAGGGTTCTAAGACTCCTAGATCCGAAGCTCAGTGTAGAAACCGTCTGGATACTTTGAAGAAGAAGTATAAGAAGGAGAAGGCTAAACACCCTGATTACTCTGGCTTAAGCAGCAAGTGGGTTTATTTCCAGAAAATGGATGAGCTTATGTTATCACCTCCCCCACAACCCCCTGCAGCCCGGCAGCATTCTCAATCGCCTAGGCTCTCCTGCGGTATTGATGCTGGAGAGTATGTCTTTGCAAACTCTAAGCCTTATTTGAATCATTCTGATGGTCTGGATGAGGTAAGGGATAGCCCGAGTGATACTGCCTCAGAGGGGGAGGGTGAGGACGTGGATGATGAGTCTGATGGACTTCCACCGAGGAGAGAGAAGGTTGGAGATTGCTCGGAGTCTTCTTTCAAGATGCTTGCTGATTCAATCCAGAAGTTTGGTGCAATTTATGAGAAAATTGAGAGTAGCAAGAGGCAGCAGATAGCAGAGCTAGAAAAGATGAGGAAGGAGTTCCACAGGGATCTTGAATTGCAGAAGAGACAGATTTTGGATAGGGCACAGGCTGAGATTTCTAGGCTAAGACAGGAAGATGGGGAGGGGGAAGATGATGAGGATGGCGATGGTGATGATGATGATATTGATGTTTCCGCAGAGAACATGAGCGGGTGAGGTAGGGTTGCTTATATTATTTATAATCTTGTGTTTTACTATTTAATTGCTAATTTTTGTTTCATTTATACAACTTTTTAATTGTTTACTTGCAACTATTTTGCAGTCTGGTTATTATCTTTAAAATGATATCATTATCATCAAGAGACCACATTCCTGAAACATAGGAATATTATGTAAATTTTAGCTTACGGAAAAAGATTGAAACTGTCTTTTACTTCAATAAAAATGTGAAACAGTTCTTGACTTCTTACTAAATAATAAACTTAATTTGTTGCGTCTACCAACGTCAATTCTACAATGATAATTAGTCTCATGTTCACATTGGCAAGAATGTATGGGACGCTCTTTATTAACTTAACTTGAGAATTTTATAGTCATTTGAGAGAATCAATTGAGCATTGTTGTGGTTTTCTTCTTATCTTTTCTCTTATAGGTATTTGCATGCATATTGTTAAATCTCTACTATTCACATATTTATAAATTAAAAATTATTATTTACTCTCATGCAACAATAGTGAACTCTTAAATACGTCAAAATTATCATCTTCTTAACCTTTTGTTATGCTTTCTCTTCTTCTTTTTACTTGTAATACGAAGAATGTTGTATGTAGCGCCAGGCTCCTCCATAACCTTAAGTATTCTTTATCTTTAATAAGCCCACCTCCGTCCTTAACAATTTTGTCACTTATCATCCCTCTCTCTATCATGCTACCTTCATCAATCATCACCCTGCCGGTGTCCTCTCCATCCACAAGCCCTCCTTGCTACTATCTGCTTCAACTCCCTCCTCTCTTGTTGTGCATTCTTCCACCACGGAAACATTTTCTCCCTCTCCTTTCACGCTTTCACCTACTCCCCCTCACCTCATCCCTCATGAGCTCACTTTCGAGGGTTTCTCCATCCTTCTCACATCAACCCACAATGCCCACTTCTTCCTCTGGGCCCTAACCCAATCCATCTTTTGATGTCAAAATTTTTGATTTCTTCTCATTTCTTATTGCTATTTCATGCTTTAAGGCTTTATTTTCTACTTCTTCATTTGATTGCCTTCACAACAAAGTTGATCCTAATTTACATGTTCATTGGTTATACTAGAACCTTTACTCAGTACAAGAAAAAGTAGAGGAGAGATGAGTAAAGAAATATTGAGAGAGAAAAATGGGCTATCATGTTGACTGAATAATAATTTTAGGCTAAAATACTTAAGATTACATCACTTTCGCTCTCCTTTGACTTGATATTTATTTGTAAGGATCAATATTTTAAGAGCTACATAACATTCTAAGAAATAAGCTCATCATCATTATTTAAAAATCAGTCCGAGGCATTCGCCTTCAAGCGGGAAAGAGCAACTTTGATTCCTAAGCCACGGTCGTTCGGGTGAGGCTTATGCCTTTATTAGATTAGGCCTACACTTGGAAGCATCTTGTCTCGAGGATTTTTTGTTACGCCTCAATTTTTAATTTATCTTATGAATAGCATCATATGACAACTAGGGTTCATTTTTGTTCTGGTGCATCGTCCCGAGCGCTGTATACATTTTTGTTCTTGTGTTAATGATAGGACTTATCCTGGAAGTGACACACTATATGCCCTCAATGCATTGAAAGTGTGCAATGACCGCTACACCGGCGCCCGAGTATAGTGTCAAAAAAGTAAGAGTTCCCAAATTACGGACGGATATGAGTAAAAAAGTTAATCCATAAAATATTATTATGATAGGATCTTGGAATATATGTATTCTCACAGGTAAATTAATAGAACTATTTGGTATTATTGTTCATAGAAAAGTAAATATCTAATGTATTCAGAAACTAAATGGTTTGGAGAAAAGGCTTACGAGATTGATGACTTAGGTTTTAAACTTTGATATTCAGGTAGGAGTCGCATTAGAAATAGTGTAGGCGTAATTATAGATAAAAGTTTGAAAGATAATGTGTTAAAAATAATAGAATTGGAGATATAATTATAGCTCTTAAGATTGTTGTTGATGCTAAAATTTTTAATTTTAAATTAATTTTATTCTTTAGCGCATGCAATATTATGAGATCGTTTGTTCTCAAGCATTCAACATGATGATCGAAGCACATGCTTGTATTTTCATTTAATAAATTAGAATATTTTAAAGAACTTAGTATGCTTCTCAAGGAAAGATAAGTTTTAATTCAGTATGAAGACTGAAACAACATTCTTAGATGCATTAATTTATGTGCTTAGGATGGTTGTTGGATCGCATACGAATACCTAATTTTTGATATTTACATATCTCGATACACCTGCACAATACATTTACATGAATTTTGGTGCCTTTGCATAGTTTACTTGAACACTTATCAAGACATTTCAAGAGTTATTAAATGATGCTCACACATATCAGAAACATATTCATTTTTTCTTGTAGTAGTCATCTTTGGATTGAAAGTTATTTTATGAAACTCATAGACAACCCAAAATAATCTAAGATTATGCCTTGCTTATGCAAATTATTGTAATTTGAATGTTTGCACAGTTTCATTTTAGATTCGATATGATAATAATTCTTTTATAAAAATGATATAGCTATTCTTTTAATTTAATTTAATCAACTAGCTAACTGATCAAATTTAGTAAACTCCTTATACTTTCTTATTTTATACAATAATGTTTACAACATTAAACATAATTTAGTCAATTGGCTAACTTATCAATTAATTTTATTTAATTTGATTGTTAATGTAGTGTGTGTGTGTGATTACTTATTAAGTATATTTTTAATATAATGTATTCATGTAATTAAATAATTATGTTATTATTATTATTTTATTTTGCCTCACAAAGTTCTCCATTTCTGTGCATAGGAATTTGAGTCATCGACTCCACATATGGGAAGATGTGCTTTTCGTTTGTTTATGGGGCTCAGGAACATTTTCCCAAGAATTTTTAATATTTTGAGTTCATCAATACAATCCCTTTTGAGATCAGATGATGTTTGAGTGATTTTGATAATGTTGAAGACAATTCAAGCTCTTTTCGTGTGTGGCGTATTCGTAGCCTGTTTCTTCTGTTGTGCTTTATCGAATTGATCATTGAATGTTCTTTTTTATGTATATATTTAAATGCTCGTGATGCATCAATACAATTCATTTTACATACAAAGGTTGTTTGGGCAGTTTCAGTGATGATTGAAGTAATTAGGCTCTATTCATGCATCTTCACTTATGTTGCTTGTCTTCATTGAACAGCCTTTAGGCATTTTCGGTGCTTTGAATGCGTCGGTGAAGTTTGGTCTACAAACAAGCAATGTTTTAAGTGACTTTGGGAGTGCTCAATGCTTTCCAACTTTGACTTGCATGATGTCACATTCATCGTTCACCGGTACCATCACATTTGCTCGATTCTACTTGCAGAAGATATACGAGCTCACTAGCCTCGCTGATTTGACTAATGGAATGTATTTGGTGGTCGACACAAGTCTGTGTATTTTTTTTCCCTTTCTTTTTATTTTCTTTGAGCAAGTTTTATGGGACAATTTTCTTAAGTGTTTTGTTAAAGCGAGTTCCTTTAGCCTATTTGACAGGGTGAGTTCCACAAATTCGCATTTTCAAAACTCATTATGGGATTTTTTTTTTCTGATTTCACCTTTATGCAAAGTAATGTTATTTTCAAATAATGTCTTCTTGGAAAAATGGAATAACAATACAATTAATGTAAAAGATATGTGTTCAAGGGACGAAAATAATAATCTCATTGTTGCTTCCAGTCTCGAGGAATTCTTTTTTAGTTTAAGTTCAAAGTCAATACTTTATAGGGCCTATTTGCTTCTTGATAATATATGGTCCATCCTAGGTGGATCCAAGTTTGTTGAATTCTAATTGGCTGGTAGCGGCGTTGACTTTATTTAGTTTTAGGTTATAGACCGTCATCTCTTTGAAATTGGAGTTATATTATTTTGTTATTCTTCTCTCAACTTTTTGCTTGTTGACTGACGAAATTTTGTGCTCATCTAGTTAGTCGAGTTTGGTTTTAAGATTTTTGTTTGATTCTTGCTATTCATTAATTTCACGTTCTTCATACTTGTAGGCGGTTGCCACTCTTTGATTGTGTGAGTTGTATTTGATGTATAATAATACTTTGTGATAATATAAGAAGTTTTTGCATAGATTTAGGGTCTGTTTGGGGCAGCTGCAGCTTATTGAATAATTTGCTGATAAGCTGATTAAAAATAATCTGCTGATAAACTAGGTGTGGTGACTATTATAAATTTTTATTTTTTTGGAAAAGTCAGACCGCTACTAGAAAGCTGGCACCGCATTTAGGTAGGTGCGGTGTGAAAACGCTGTTTTCAGCTTTTTCAAAACGCATAAGCTTCTAAAATAGAGTTTACCCAAACAGGCCAGGTTCGTTTTCAAAACGTCACCACACCAAATAAGCTGCCCCAAACAGACCCTTAGTTGTGATGGTTGTTTTTAAGGCTTATAAGACAATATATATAGGACGTCTACCTATTGCTTTTAGTGATTTAAACTTTTTTCCTTACGAGATTGAAGATTTGCTTATTGGTGGCTTTAGGAAACTTTGAGGCAAATGCCTTGAGACTGGCAGAAGACTTCAAAGGGCCTTGTCTAAAAACTGTGGACTGTTGTTAGTGATGGTCGCATGTGAAATTCTTGCTGGAAGTTAGTGTGTTTCTCTATAAAATTTTGGACTATCTAAGAAATTATTTTGGCAGCTGCCTTGGCTTTAATTTTTTTTGTTGAATAATTGATCATGACGATTATGAATTTTCTCTGCCTTTTAGATGTTGGGAAAGGGCTCATTAAATCCTTGGCCCAACAGTGAATAATTTTGGAGTAGAGACATGGCTATAGCTTTTGCGAAGGTTGGATTATATTGCAGTAAATGTTTTGCATTATAACAACTATTTGAGAATATCTCTATTCCTTTTTAATATGCCAGCTTGAAGTATCTTTATCTTAACACGCAATTATGAAGTTTTCGACCACCTAAGAGGTTGTTACATTCTCCATAGCGAGAATTTCTTCAAGTATATGGGTGACTTTGTTTTTGTGCATACACCTTAGATATGGTGTAGTCACTAACTTTTGATCTAACTTAATTTCTATCATCATATTAAAGTCATCTTTAATTTTGAATCTTGTCGGATTTTTGACACTAGATGAGATTTTGCCTGTTTTCAAATAGTAAATGCGTGTGTCAAACCAACTCTGCTTGGCTGCAAGTTTGACTTCTATAATTCTCACTTTATTAATAACGGGTTCAGTAAACTCTAAAATAGGTTTCCCTTCCAGCTTCCCAATTTTGGATAGCATATTGGCAAGTTGGTTTTGCTTTGGATTTGTTCGATCATGAAATGTTTGAATTTTTCAAATTTTAGATTTGCTTTGAAATAATATTTATGCAATGTCTTCTTTAACATTTTATAACTCTTTGATCTAGTTGACGATTACCTAATATTCTTGGTATATCGGAAGGTTTTTGGCTTCGACACTTGCTGTGAATCTTAAGCTAGCTATGATTTTTTTTATTCGTCTTGATTGTTTGTGGCTAAGCGAGACTTGAATCATGCTTGCTAGTATAATTCTCATTAGATTGTTTAGAACTCTTTGATGAAGCTCTATTAATGTATAGTGTTTAGAGGAATTCATTTCCCGTTGGTTCTTTTTTTCCTCATCCAATGGTAAAAGTCGTTAAGAAGGTGGTCTTGTGCTTTAATTATTCTATTTGGCATGCATGAGACTTAAAAATTGTTGAGCTCTACTGCTCGTTTAAGCAATTGTTTTGAATGGTTGGGTTTATCTTGGACCAACTTCAGAGGGTTATCTTTGATTTCTTAAATTGTGTGAGCTTGAAAATATGGCTGCAGTTAGTAGGCGACTATCTGCTAGGTGAATGTGAATTTCTCAGAAAGGATGCATAACTCGACTCTACGCGCTTTGCTAATATAGTGTAGATGTAGGGTTTGATTGTTCGTGATCAATGTTTTACAACGAGCAAGTAGATCAACATCTCCTATATCAGGGGTGACGAGCCGAGTGCCCTTATGCTTGGGAGCAGCGCATAGGTGTTGCAATGGGACGTTCATGCACAATATAGGCGCCCCATTGCCAGAGTAGGCGCTACTGCACCCAACCTGACTGGTTTCTAGTTTTTTGGAACAAAGCACTCCGAAACTTGATGACCATGTGTGGTGCCTAGGTTCCTGTAACATAATTTATGTAGTTCTAGATTTAAATCTTTGTTTTTCACTGTGGGAAAGTGAGTAGAAGAGCGAGGCTCATTGAAGTTGGATTTCGTGAGTTCTCTTGTGCGAAAGAGAGAAATGAGTGTTCGTGAGTTTCTGGATTGTAGTGAGGCTTTTGTGTGGAGTAATTTATATTGTTTCTCCTCTTTTTAAAGTGGATTTCTTGCTGTGGTGTCACTCTATTTTTTTGTCATTCTCGAGTATTTCCATATTAAATCTTATTGTTTTTTTTTGTTTGTACGTTTCTCCTCATAATTATGTTTCGGATCTCTCGAATCAGTATTTTCATAGTTTTCCAATTTCCAACGCAAGTGCTATCAATGGGGTTTTCTGAAGATCTTTGGTTTGAGCGGGAGCAATGGCTGACGAAGCAAGATATAAGGTGGAGAAGTTGAACAGTTAGTTTTTGCTTTCAAGAAAATTTAAATTGAAAATTTATTGTAACAAAAGAAATTGTATTTGCCATTGCAATCACCAAGAAGTCTCATCGATGAATTTGGAAAAATGGGAAGTGTTTGATTGACAACACTAATGATCCATCATTCACTAGGGCTGTTAAGGATCCTATTTCAAGTTGAGCTAGGGTTGGCTTAAAATCGGCTCGAACGAATTGAGTCTGGCTCAAAATCGGCTCGAATGAATAGAGCGCAAGTCAAAATCAGCTCGTGACTCGTTATATTCAATTTTGAGCCAGCTCAACTCGAAATTGAATCGAGCTTGATCCGACTCAAAATCAAAATGAGTTAGCTCAAATGAGTTGTATCCATTTCAACTCGAAATTGGCTCGATCCGATTCAAAATCAAAATGAGCTGGCTCAAATTGAGCTATTTCGATTTGTTCCCTACTCAAAATCGGCTCGACATTTGCTTGTGGCTTGTCGTCTTCAATTTATTTAGCCTTTTATGTATACTTTTTATAAATAAAAAAAAAAATACTTCAAGCTAAGCTTGTGCCAGTTCGAGTTGATTCATGTATGACTCAAACTCGTCTCGAAAAAATTTAATTCAAAGTTTTGGCTCAACTCAACTCGTTTATTTCAAATAGATTTTGTAACGATTAACATGCTTTGAGCTAAATTTCCAGTTCTATTATTCACTTTCCTCATATGTCACTTTCAACATTTTGAATGAAAAAGTTAATAGTTGATTTCATGGTTGGAGTAATAATAATGTATGAGATGCCTTTAGTTTTAGATAATTTTTTTTTAATGAAGAGATTTTTCAATATAAAGATGATGGATGTTAGTTCAGTGGCAAAACATTTGAATAACTTCGACACTGTGATTAATAAACTGTGTTCTATTGGCATCAAGTTTGATGATGAGGTCATGTCACTGTTACTCTTATCTTCATTGCGAGACATTTAGGATGGAGTAGTCACTGTGGTGAACAACTTTTTTGGTAATATGAAGTTAAATTTTGATGACATTATGCGGCTAGTGATGAATGAAAAAGTTCGCAGGAAGGTGAGTGGTGAAACTTCAAATTCTGCTTTGAATGTTGAATAAAGAGGAAGGAATCTGAATGAAAATACATGCATGGAATGATTCAAGTCCAGGAGAGAGATGCAAATGTGGGGAACTCACCCTCTCAAATATCGAACATGTTTGTTGGAACTGTGGGAAAAAATGCCACTTCAAGAAAGACTGCACAACTCCGAAGGTTAGTGGTGGAGGTCCAAACAGACTCTCTACAAATATCTCCACAAATGAAATTCAAGGTGAATCCTTTGTTTTCTTTCTAGATAGTACTGAATCTTAAATGATAGATTCATGAAATTCAAGTTGAATCCTTTGTTTTCTTTCTAAATAGTACCGAATCTTTGACGATAGATTCATGTGCTTCTTTTCATGCATGCCCCAACAAAGAGATATTCAAAATCTACACTCAAAGTGATCCAGTGAAGATATGTTTGGGAGATAACAAGACTTGTAATATTGTTGAAAATGGTGATGTTGATAGTAGGTTGTCAAATATTAGTAGCTCAATGAAATCAGACATGTTCGATATGTGAAGAGAAAATTTATTTATGTGAGTTGGTTTGTAAGTTCAGGGTATGTGCCTATTTTCACAGGTGATTCATGGAAGGTGACTAAAGGGACAATGGTGATGGCTTGAGACATCATTAAATGTACTTTTTTACTTAATCATTGAAATGTCTGAATCTATTAGTATTGCTTGAATAAAAGATGATGTAGGTGCATGACACCACAAATTTGGCCACATGAGTGAGAAATGTACGAGTCCATCATTTCTAAGAATAAGTTTCATTTTTAAAGTCCATAGAATTAGATTTTGGCGAAGATT